AACAAGTACAATTAAAGACTTACTTTTAGAAGATTTTCAGTAGAAGATCTTGATGCCAATTAATCAGTAGCTGTTTGCAAATGAGACAGCTGAGTACAAATCCAGGAATTAGTCGGCAGATATAATGGGTTAAAGCAAAAAGGAGTAATCTGTAGAACAGTCAGTGTTGGCAGAGTCTTATCAGTCAGGATTGTAAAGGGAGATGAAATAGAGTAGTCAGGAGAAGTCCGAGGTCTGCAACCAAGTACTCAGATAAGATAAGAGCTTAAGGCACAAAGGAGTAATCCGTTGAACAATCCGAGTGGTCAACGGGCAATCAATTAGGATTATAGGGATCGATAAAATAGAGTAGTCAGGAGAAGTCCGAGGTCTGCAACAAGTATTTAAGATAAGATAAGGGGTAATAAAAAATTTCAAGTTGGATCCGGAGACAAAGTGAAGGAGGAGAGGGCAAAGAAGGAGGAACCTATACAAGGGAGAAAAGTATAGCACAAGCGGTGCTATACACATTCACAGTGCACCAGGGAACTGATGATGTACACTTAAATTTATTTATTTATTTATTTATAAAATATTTTACCAGGAAAGATACATGGAGACTTCTCTCGTTTTCAAGTATGTCCTGGGTCCACAAAACATTGCATTGTTACAATAGGGTACAATAAAATACAAAAACAATATTAATGCACAATATATACAAAATTTAAACCTTTAACCCCTTAAGGACTGAGCCAAATGTACACGTTGTGATCAAAACAAAACATAAACAAAAACTGGAATTTGCGCTGTATGTCTGTTCAGGCGTAATTCACCTCTTTCATATTATGTCCACCCACACTTATTATATATCATTTTATTCAAGGGAAACAGGGCTTTCACTTAACATCAAATATTTAGGTATGAAACATAATTTAATATGAATAAAATAACGTCTAACATTCTAACTGTGAATGTCAGAATACTGTTTGTTTTTACTACAATAAAATACACATATTTGTATTCATCCATGTCTCACGTGTAAAACAGAACCCCCTATGTACAGGTTTTATGGTGTTTTGGGAAGTTACAGGGTCAAATATAGCATGTTAAATTATTCAATTTTTTCACATTGAAATTCGCCAGATTGGTTACGTTGCCTTTAAGACTGTATGGTAGAATTACCCCCATGATGACATACCTTTGCAAAAGTAGACAACCCAAGGTCTTGCAAATGGGGTATGTCCAGTCTTTTTTAGTAGCCCTTTAGTCACAAACACTGGCCAAAGTTAGTGTTAATATTTGAAAATACAGAAAACTAATTTGAACGCCATTTTTTGTAAGTACATAAGATTGCGGGGACGTTCAATGCCGCCCTGCGGCATTTAGAGCCGCTTACTTAAGGACGGCATAGAATGCTCTGTGGTCTTAAGGGTTTACGGATGCCAAATGTACAAGTTGTAACCCCCCAAAAATGAAAACAAACCACAGAATTTGACTATATGTCTGTTCAACAAGAATTTACACTCTTTCATATTATGTACACCCATGCTTATTATATATAATTTTGTTCGGGAGGATCAGAGCTTTCATTTCATATCAAATTTCTATATATGGAACTAACATTTTTATGAAAAAAATAAAAATAAAAAACTTTGAAAAATGAAAAAATTGGGTTATTTTTCAAGTTCTGCATGGCATTACTGCAATAAAACACACACATTTGTATTAAGCAAAGTCTCATGAGTTAAACAGTACCTCCCATGTACAGGTTTTATGGGATTTTCAAAAGTTACAGCAATAGAGCAGCAGGAAATGCTAGCAGAATGCTTGGTTGTATAGGGAGAGGTATTAGCAGTAGAAAGAGGGAAGTGCTCATGCCATTGTACAGAACACTGGTGAGACCTCACTTGGAGTATTGTACACAGTACTGGAGACCGTATCTTCAGAAGGATATTGATACCTTAGAGAGGGTTCAGAGAAGGGCTACTAAACTGGTTCATGGATTGCGGGATAAAACTTACCAGGAAAGGTTAAAGGATCTTAACATGTATAGCTTGGAGGAAAGACGAGACAGGGGGGATATGATAGAAACATTTAAATATATAAAGAGAATCAACACAGTAAAGGAGGAGACTATATTTAAAAGAAGAAAAACTACCACAATAAGAGGACATAGTCTTAAATTAGAGGGACAAAGGTTTAAAAATAATATCAGGAAGTATTACTTTACTGAGAGGGTAGTGGATGCATGGAATAGCCTTCCAGCTGAAGTGGAAGAGGTTAACATAGTAAAGGAGTTTAAGCATGCGTGGGATAGGCATAAGGTATCTATAAGATAAGACTAGGGACTAATGAAAGTATTTAGAAAATTGGGCAGACTAGATGGGCCGAATGGTTCTTATCTGCCGTCACATTCTATGTCTATGTTTCTATCCAATATAGGGCATGTCCATTAATTTTATTTACACATAGAATTTTTTTAGATTGGTTTGCTGGGCCTGTTTTGCATGGCAGCCCAGAAATGAAAATTACCCCCATCATGGCATACCATTTGAAAAAGTAGACGTCCCAGGGTATTTAAAATGTTCAGTCTTTTGTAGTAGCACTTTTTCACTAGCCAAATCTGGTGGTCAGATTTTTTTGTGTGCATTTTTTACATATAAACTGTACTTTCAGTGATGATATTTGCTATACATTATACTGCTCTGAAACACTCACATTTCTGGTCAGTGATGTCTCACAAGTACAACGGAACCCCCCATGTATATGTTTTATGGTGTTTTGGAAAGTTACACGGTCCAATATAAGGCTTGTCCTTTTATGTTTTTACACATAGAAATTTGGTAGATTGGTTTGCTGGGCCTATGTTGCCTTTGAGACCATATGGTAGCCCAGAAATGAAAATTACCCCCATCATGGCATACCATTTGTAAAAATAGACATCCCAGGGTATTCAAAATGTGCTTTTATAGAAGCCTAAGTAGTCACAAACACTAGCCAAATTTGTTGTTCACATTTTTTTGTGTGTTTTTGACATAAAAAACTGCACTTTCAGTGATGATATTATGGTTCTTATAATTTTCACATGACTAAAGCACTTCTGGTCACTGATGTCTCACGTGTGCAATGGCACCCTTTATGTATACGTTTTATGGGGTTTTGGAAAGTTATACGGTCTAATATACATCTTATCCATTTATGTTTTTACACATTGAAATTTGGCAAAGTGATTTTCTGGGCCTATGTCGCCTTTGAGAGCGTATGTCAGCCTGGTTAATAACATTTCCACTATTATGGCATACCATTTTCAAAAGTAGACAACCCAGAGTATTCTAAATGTCCTGTATTTATATGTTTGGTTTAACCAGTTTATTAGAAATGCAGGGCCCATATAGCGGCTATAGTTTTATTTGTGCTTTTTCAAACACATTAACTCAATTTCCACAGGATATTTAAAATTCCTGATATGGGTTAGTGCAATAAAGCCTCAGTATTTTGTTTCAACATTGTCTCCTGAATATAACAGTACCCCCATGTACCAGTTTTTCAGTGTTTTGGGGGAAGTCACAGGGACAAATACATTAGATGTTCATTTCAAAGTTGGAAATTTGGCAAAGTGATTTTCTGGGCCTTTGTCGCCTTTGAGAGTGTATGTCAGCCTGGGTAATAACATTTCCACTATTATGGCATACCATTTTCAAAAGTAGGCAACACCGAGAATTCTAAATGGTGTGTATTGATACGTTTGGCCTAACCAGTTTATCAGAAATGCAGGGCCCATATAGCGGTTATAGTTTTATTTGTGCTTTTTCAAACACAACTCAATTTCCACATGATATTTCATATTCCTAATATGCGTAACTGCAATAGAGCCTCTGTATTTTGATTACACATTGTTTCAAGAATATAACAGTACCCCCATGTACCATTATTTCAATTTGTTTCGGTAACTCACAGGGCCAAATATATTAGATGCCCTTTTCAGCTTGTAAGTCTAATAATGTGTAACTTTTGAGAAAGTATGGGAGCCCAGGAGAGAAAATTACACCCATGATAGTATAGTATCTTTAAAAGGAGGTAGTCCAGGGTATTCCTAATGGCATAATTTGAGTTGTTTGGTCTAGCCACTTTAACAGACATGCAGTACCCATGTAGCGATTTATACTTTTATTTGTGTTTTTTGTACACATGTTCCATTTTCACAGGAAATGTCATAATCTTGATATTAGTTAGTGCAATAAGACATCAGTATTTTTATTTAAAATTGTCTCCTGAATATAACAGTAACCCCATTTACCATTTTTGCAGGTTTTTCACAAATAGAACAGTATCCCCACATACACTTTGTTCTGAAGGCGAGCGAGAGAGAGCGATCTTTGTTCTCATAGAGAGTCACTGTGTGAAAAGTTTGAGAAGTTTAAAAAAAAAAAAAAATTTTATTAACATAAAATAGTTTTACTTTGTAAAGTCACGTTTTGACAAGTACTACAAATGTAGTATTTTGAGATGTGTGGTGTAGCCACTTTAGAATGGCTAAGGTAAACAGGGACAAGCCAAGGTCAGGGGAATCCAGAAGTCAGAGTAGTCAGTAAAACAGGCCAATGGGTCGGTACAGGTCACAAAGTATAGTCAGGACAAGCCGAGGTCAGGGATTCCAGGGAAATCAAGCAAACAAACTGCCAAAGTACCATACAGAGTGATTTAGTAGTTCAGCTCTGTATGATAGACTTTGAAACAGTCTGCTATGCAGAGGGCGGGTAGGGATGGACAGGAGGGGCGATAATAACTGGAGTCCTTGCAGATTCCTCTTTTCCAGCAAACACAGCATTTTCGTTGGGGTGACCTTTTACAGGGTGTGGGGGGGATTCAGGATGGGGTTAGGATTGGGGGCCTGGGAAAATACAATTTGAGACAAAATTTGGACCATAAACTCTAGAAATGGGTATGGTCTACCTATGGCTTCCTTTTTATAAAGCACATAGGAGTTGAAATTGGGGTACGTAGGTTGCAATTTTCTTGTACCAGGTCCTACTCTTTCGGTTCACCAGATAGGGCTGTATGCATTGGTCAGCCAAGTCTACTCCCCCCATAAACTATCTGTAGTCTACAACGCACTCCGGCTTCTCCAGCTGCTCAGTTCCACCTCTCACAGACACTGGCACTGAAGTTTCATCGTGCATTGTAGACAACATGAATACATCCTTCCTATTGGTGAAGCAAAGGGCAAGCATCTCATCCTGGTGGAGAGCTGAAAGGGAGCCTCTACTGCGTTTCCCTTTTGTCAGGGTTTGGGGAAAACCTCTGTGATTCTTCCTCACTGTGCCACAGGCTAGGGTTTCAAAGCAAAGCAAAGTTTTAAATAACTCTATGCTTAAATAATAGTTGTCAATAGTTGTCAACCCATAGCCTGTATCCCTTATTTAACAAGGGAAGGATTAGGTTCCATACTATCTTGCCACTTGTACCCAGAGAATCAGGGCATCCTGGTGCATCAAAATGGCTATCCTTCCCGTGATAAATACAAAATGCCCATGTATCACAGTTTGTAAAATTTGACACTGTATCGGGATCATTTAGAAGGGATATACTGCTTAAAAAGTAATCTACTCTTAAACTTCGTTAGGGATTCATCTACACAAATATTTTCTTCAGGGACATAATTTTAAGAGAATTTGCCTGACAGGAGTTGGATTAGGGGCCAAATTTTGTAGAGCCTGTCAAACAATGGGTCGTTTCTTGGGGGGCACAGTGCGTTATCATTGAAGTGTTCATACAGATCCCTCTTCATAACCCCTGGGAAAAGAGGGGTAGCCAGGATGGGGTGCTTGTATCAGTAGGACCTGATACTCTGCTTTTTGACGATACCCATAACTAGAGTTAGGGCCAAATATTTGCGCATTTCTGTGAGATCCTTCAGGTGCCACATATTTTGCCAATTGTAATGTGACCCTGGATTTGCAGTCAGTTATTGGTTGGCAAATAAATTAGTTTGCTCAACCATTAGCTGAAAAATGTCTTCTGACATGAACAGATCAAAATTTTTAATTGGTTCCCAAGTATCCACCATAACAGTGATGCCAGGAATCGCCGTGAATGGGGGTATTTCTGGTGACGTCTAATTTGGGAACATGCAGTCTCCATCTGGCATTAGTCTTGCTGAGTGTCCTCTTGTAGGTGGTGGTGGGGCACCATCACTTGAGGACTCACTCAGAGGCTCAATACCAGAGGCAGTGATAGTGTCACTGTCTTGCAGAGTGTCACTATCACTGCCTGCTAGAAAGGCGTACCCCTCTTATATATGTGTATATCGCTTTAAGTAAATATGGACACTGCTTATGGACATCGAGTTGCCAGTACAATGCCCTCTAACAAAATGGCTGAACTGACTGATGGATTGAACTATTAACTCTAACTAGAGGAAGTTACTTTGGAATTTGCCATTTGGGAGGAAGTAAACACTATACAATATGGTGTATGATTGGGTTTGAGGATTCCGGAAGTGATGTCATCTACACTCGACATAAATGGACGTGTGGATGCCATGAAGAGGAGGACAACATACAATGTGAAATAGGGTTTTTTCAGATTCCCGGAAGTGACGTCACGCGCGCGATCATACTGGCGAGCGTGATGACGTCACTAGTAAGGGACAAAGCATCTGACATTGTAGTTCCTATGCTGCTAAGTAAAAACGTTCATGATTGGCTGAAAATCGATCTCCTTCTTCCAATCAGGACGAGAGGTGGGGATTTTAATCAGGATTGAGTAGGATAGTAGTTACCAATTGAGAAAGCCGAGAGAGGTCGGTGAAACGCGTTTTGGACAAGATACCAGTGTAATGTATGAATTTTATTGATGTTTTTAATGTTTATGCAATAAATTCAATTTTAATACATACACTTGGGACATCTTCTATCCTGCTAAAAGAGGGCAAGAGTCATCCCTTTAAAAAGACTCATAAGCTGTCATACTCAGAGCCAAGTTACAGGCTCTTTTCCAGGTGAGAAGCAACCTTCACCTTTCTGTTTATATTTGTCATTGTAATCATAAGGATTTCAACACCAGGGCGATTTCCCCCTGTTTTATTCTCTGTTTTCTTTGAGGAACTTATTGGGATTGCAACTGTTACACTACTGTACAGCAGCAATACTGTACAGTACAGTGATCACGGCAGCAGGGAACGGTTAAGGGAGATTTGGGTTGCTGCAGCTGACAAAGGGTCAAAACAAATGTAAAAAACAAAAAGTTTGACATGAAAAAATTAATTAATTAATAATAGTACAAATGTACTAACAACCCTAATTAGGCTGATCACAGTGTTAATGATGTGATCAGCACTGAAAGCATTAAAAACAATTTTTTTTTTTACATTTTACTGATGTTTTACAATATTTTATCCTACAAGGACCACCAGCAACGATCTCTCTACCTCTCTCTCTTAAATTTAAGTGAGTTGACGAGAGGGGCAGAGACAATGTGTCACCCAGTTATTTGAAATCATTGGCTGACACATTGTAACAGGTGAAAACACAAAAAAACAATCACTGTATGCTCCTAGAATATGAGTGGACCCTTTAAGGAAGAAGTGTTCCCTTTCAAGACACTAGAGTAATTAGAAACAAAGAAAAAAACAACCAAAAAAGGTCCTAGGGAATATATATGAATACAAACTGGGAAGACCCAAACACCAAATAGGTGGATAATGGAATTATTATACAACCTGAGTAAATAACTCTACAACAACAAAAACAGTAAAGAATATATATAGTGTAGTATGTAATGGTTAAAAATCAGGGTAGCGGTGGTAGAAAACTCACAAAATTGATGTATATTCAGGCATTTCTCCCATGAATAGGGTCAAAGATATCCTCAGGAGCAGTCTTCTTAATGGCTCAGAGTAGCAGGGAGAAGAAAAAATATACAGTTGCAAGAAAACGTATGTGAATCCTTTGGAATGACATGGATTTCTGCACAAATTGGTCATAAAATGTGATCTGATCATCATCTAAGTCACAACAATAGACAATCACAGTCTGCTTAAACTAATAACACACAAAGAATGAAATGTTGCCATGTTGCTATTGAACACACCATGTAAACATTCACAGTGCAGGTGGAAAAAGTATGTGAACCCCTAGACTAATGACATCTCCAAGAGCTAATTGGAATGAGATGTCAGCCAACTGGAGTCCAATCAATGAGATGATATTGGAGGTGTTGGTTACAGCTGCCCTGCCCTATAAAAAAACACACACCAGTTCTTGGTTTCCTTTTCACAAGAAGCATTTCCTGATGTAAATGATGCCTCGCGCAAAACAGCTCTCAGAAGACCTACGATTAAGAATTGTTGACTTGCATAAAGCTGGAAAGGGTTATAAAAGTATCTCCAAAAGCCTTGCTGTTCATCAGTCCACGGTAAGTTAAGGTGAGGTGAAGACGAATCCTAGAGTGTCAGCTAAAGACTTACAAAAGTCACTGGCAAATGCTAACATCCCTGTTAGCGAATCTACAATACGTAAAACACTAAACAAGAATGGATTTCATGGGAGGTACCACAGAGGAAGCCACTGCTGTCCAAACAAAACATTGCTGCACATTTACAGTTTGCACAAGAGCACCTGGATGTTCCACAGTAGTACTGGCAAAATATTCTGTGGACAGATGAAACCAAAGTTGAGTTGTTTGGAAGAAACACACAACATTATGTGTGGCAAAAAAAGGCACAACACACCAACATCAAAACCTCATTCCAACTGTGAAGTATGGTGGTGGGGGCATCATGGTTTGGGGCTGCTTTGCTGCGTCAGGGCCTGGACGGATTGCTATTATCGAAGGAAAAATGAATTCCCAAGTTTATCAAGACATTTTGCAGGAGAACTTAAGGCCATCTGTCTACCAGCTGAAGCTCAACAGAAGATGGGTGTTGCAACAGGACAATGACACAAAGCATAGAAGTAAATCAACAACAGAATGGCTTAAACAGAAGAAAATATGCCTTCTGAAGTGGCCCAGTCAGAGTCCTGACCTCAACCCGATTGAGATGCTGTGGCATGACCTCAAGAAAGCGATTCACACCAGACATCCCAAGAATATTGCTGAACTGAAACAGTTCTGTAAAGAGGAATGGTCAAGAATTACTCATGACCGTTGTGCACGTCTGATCTGCAACTACAGGAAACATTTGGTTGAAGTTATTGCTGCCAAAGGAGGTTCAACCAGTTATTAAATCAAAAGGTTCACATACTTTTTCCACCTGCACTGTGAATGTTTACATGGTGTGTTCAATAAAAACATGGCAACATTTCATTCTTTGTGTGTTATTATTTTAAGCAGATTGTAATTGTCTATTGTTGTGACTTAGATAATGATCAGATCACATTTTATGACCAATTTGTGCAGAAATCCATATCATTCCAAAGGGTTCACATACTTTTTCTTGCAACTGTATATAAAGTGCAGATGGTATTAAAATATGACACATTTATTGCACAACATGGCACTTACAAGGAAGCTCCAGATCCTTTCCACAGGTATGGTGATCGAATATACAACAAAAAACAAACTGACAAAGAAAGATAACAAGTCCTACGTGTTTCGTCCATTGGGTAACTGGTTGTCACAGCGATCACAAACTTCAGATCGCCACTGATTGGCCACAGGGGACCTGCCTGGGTTGCCAGTCAGGCCCCCCCACCCCGTACTGCATTTTGGGAGGGATCAGGGAAACGTGGGTGGGCTTAAACGCCGCGGCGTGCTATGCAGCCCTAACGGCATTTAAGCCTATTGGCGTTAATGGTTTTATATATAACAGGTTCAAAATATATAATCAACCATAACACGTGCATTCTGTTTTGAGGTACGTAGAGAGGGATCACTTAAAGGACTTTAGGCTTGGGGAAGATTTTAAAGTGTGCGGGAGGTCGTTCCATAATTGCGGTGCTCTGTAGGAAAAGGAGGATCGGGCCGCTTTCTTTTTTTATTGAGGTAGACTACATAGAGTGCAGGTACTGGATCGGAGGTTATAGGATGTGGGAACAGCTGAAGAGAGCATTCTGCTCAGATAGGGTGGGAAAAGCTCTTAAACACAAGGCTGGAAAGATACAGGGTGCGTCTGGATTCCAGCGACAGCCAGTTTAGTTCTTTTAGCATGTCACAATGGTGGGTCCTGTAATTACATTGTAACACAAATCGGCAGAACGAGTTATACAATGTATCGAGTTTA